GTTAGATGTGTATAGCCCTTTTCGGTTTATCCCCATTGTATAAGGGGTCTCTTGCACTTTACCACACACATGTATATGTATTGGCCTTTGGCCCTCCTGAGAATACAGTTGCTATTCCTCCAACAACATGGACCCGTGGGTGAGGAATAGTGTCAAAGCGCGATCAAAAAGCAAATAGTCTTTTGAAGCAACTTGCCTCAAGATTTATGGTTTTACTGGAATCTTTTTTCGCGAAGACGGTGACTATGTTGATCGTTCATTTTTTTCCAACCGGGTCTCACCCCTTTTTCATTAATTTCTTAACGGAAATACATAGTCTGTTAATGTTGATCGTTCATGGTGGTCTCGATCCCTTGCTTTCATCTTTCCATATAATACGATCACGTTAATTTACATTCCTTCTAAACTAATTTCACTTTAATTTATTTATCAAATTTTTCATCAAAGTTATCCCGCAAAAAATGATTCATCAAAGTTATAAGTACTTATCATAGAACCGAGTCATCACGAAAGAAAAACGAAAAATGAAAAGAGCGAAAAAATAAAAATCCCGTCTCTCTCCCCGGCCCGTGGAATCGCCGCTCTCTTCTCTCCCCCACCCCCGGACAGCAACGCCGCACAATGCCCGGCGGCCGGCGTCCTCCCCCCTCCCCCGGCCGTCATACAGGCACGGGCGCGCGACGCCGGAGGCGGGGCACGCCGGGTTGTCCCTCGCCAATGAGCTGATGTCCGTGGCCGCCGATGCGCTCCGCCCAGCGCCACCATGCCAGGGTCTCTGTTGCTCCCGCTCTCCGACCAGCTCCGGATGCCGCGCACGGTGGCTACTCTGCCGGAGGCGATTTCTTTCCAGTGTGCCATCTATTTTGGCTCTCGTGCGTCCTGTCCTGTTGCTGCTCTGAGATACTTGACTGTAGGGGCTGGTTCTGCAACCCAGAGGCTGCAACTGTTTCAGAAGGTAATACAATATGCTAGCAGATCCTTGACTTACTAGTATGGCCGAAAATGCTAGATTCTCAAGTGTAAAATATACTGTATCCGTCAGTTAACTGCACTGCGCAGAAATTCTCACTTGTTCTGAAACATTTTTGTTAATTTTTTGCTGGTCAGAAGTTCCCGCACGGCTTTGTCCAATCCATTACATTACAGTGTATATACATTCAGAAGCTCAGAAACTGCTTCGTTCAATCCATTACATCACAGTGTCTCGAAACCCCGTTCCCTCGTATGCTGAACTGCTTAACACAGCATGTTACCTTCTGAATAAATACATACTTGTTATACATGCCTGCTTTTGTGTTGTGTCAGCTGATGGTTTTCGTATGTGAGTACCCTAGGAGACAAGGACAACTGGGTATTTTTTTCTCTCTCTCTCCTGTCAGCACATAGCCTCAAGTTCCGGACGGCTGGATGGGTGATTTTTCTAGACTCCAGTTTCTGGAAACCATGGTTAGTGCCGACCGTGCTTCCTGGGTGATTTCAGCAAGTTTTCCGTAATTTGTATGTCATACTTATGATGGATGATAAAGGCGTTTCCGTGCCTCAGCAGAAGATGTAATGGGTTCTCTGTCCTTGGTCTCCAAGGCTTTGGTAATTCATCTAAATATGTGACAAGAATGACTTGATCTGGACACTGAAGATCCTTAAGGACAAGAGGTATGCCACTTTGAAAATAACTTGCTCCATTGTAACATGCCATGTTTTGTTTATTTGTACCGAAGCTGTTCTTCTTTTAGGTTGCTACTAGTACATTATGTTGATAAAACTCATGTGGGTTAGTGCCACAAGGCACAAGTTTGTATGCTTGTGACGAATAAGCTTACATCTCATCCCTCTACGTTGAAAAGAAAGGAAAAAATTGCGTGGGGACTAGGGACGCATAACAATTTTTCTCTAGGAAAAGAAAGAAACAAAGACAAGCAAACCAGTCTGATCTGAACGTAAATATACAGCCATAATAATGAAGTTAAAAACAGACCAAAGAAGTGAACCAAAGGCATACAAAATAAAATTCTGAGGGGTATAGTACAGTATAACCAATTGCCGCAAAGGTGGCAAAAGACACTGAAAAAAAAATCGAAACACTGACAGATTTTTCCATTACTCAAAGTGGAAATGACAAGTTTTACAAAGAAAGAAATAAAACGAGATTGGCCACTGCCAGGAAACCCGCTGCAACTAGGCGAAAATCGAACTAGCCACTACGGGGCAAAAACCTGGCATCACTAGACATCAGAGTTCTAGAATATTACTTATTGCAAGCTCAGCATGAGCGACCTGTCAGGCCAAAAGCAACGACTTAAAGAACAGCGGAGCACAGCAGATAGATTGGCATATGAGGTTCCAAAATGTTAATCCAAGAATATTCTTGGTCCCTCACGATCTTCCCTCGCTGCAGTTGTCATTTCTTTTATTATTGACTCGGTGGTCTCACTTGCTTTGTCATATACTTTAATATGCACCGCTTGGAGATTTTTCAGCCCTTTTATGCCAACAAGGCCCTCAAAGTTGCTGAACCGTAGCTCAAGCCTCTCGAGGGTCGGCACTGCGCCATCTTGAAAGCTTAGTTGTGGCACATAAGGGGCAAAGAAACGAAGGAGCTTGAGATTCTCAAATCCGCCAACCGGAAACAATATCACCCCATCTGAGCATGCCTTGTTTTCCTCAACAATGTCAGCTGTTTCTTGATCCTGTTTTGTTGCATGAAGTGAGAATGTGAGTGAAAACAGACTGCATATCTTGCTAAGGAGCTCCAAATTATCTGCCCGAAGAGCCGTCACTGAGAGGGTTAGCTTTGTGAGTGCATCCAGTTCTGTAATCCATTTCGGGAGCTCAACCAACTTGCCAGAAAACTCGAGGGCATTGAGAAACTTGGGAGGGGCAGAGAGATCACCTAGTAATTTGAGAAACTCAGCTGAGTCATCATGAATTACCAGGGCATAGAGAGAGTAGCCACCGAGGTACTCGATCGAGGAGCTTAATTCATTGAAAAGACAACCCCCCGTATCGTTGTTAAGCTTGTAAATGGCGAGCTTCCTCAGATCGGTCAGATGATGGAGGTCCGCAGTACCAATCTCAATACCTGTCAGTATACGAAGAGCCTTCATCTTTTTCCTCGTCTCCAGTTCTTCAGGAAGCTTCAATGCCTTCCTTGTTCTTTTGTTGCCACCAAATATATTAACCAATCGTTCAAGCTTGCAGATGGCTTTGGGCAGCTCTGTAACATTGGTTTCCCTTACGTCAAGAGTCTCCAAAAACCGGAGATCTCCAATCCTTTTTGTGAGCTTCTTAATGTCGGTTCTTCGAAGGTTGAGATACTTGAGTAGAAACATTCTGCATATCTCCTTAGTATGTTGCTGTTTAAAATCCTTGCAACCTTCAAGGTCTAGTAGTTGCACAACTCCACTAAACTTGAATGAACTAGAAGGCAGTTGCTTCAAACTCCCACACATGGTCACGTCTCGGACATGAGACAAGTTCATGGTCTCCAGTTCTTCTCTAGACTTCGAAGAACCTCTGTATCTAGCAGACAATCGGCGGACTTTGGTGCTAATGCAAGGCGGCACCATGCCACAGACACCAGTTGTAGTGACAAAATTCTCCTCGCTTGCCTTCGATACAATGTACTCAAAAACCATGGAGTGGACTTGATAGCTCTTCACCTCTCCATTGCTGCTGTGCTCCGTGGCTTGTATGAAGTTCCTCCTGATGAGGTAATTCAAGTATGTCTCTGCAACCTTCTCTGCACTTAACCCCTGCATCTCAGTGACAAAACCTCCTGAAATCCATCGCCTTGTCAGACGCTTCTTGCTGATCTTTTGACCACATGGGAACATGCTAAAATACAAGGCACATGCCTTGATCTCAGCAGGCATATCGTTGTAGCAGGTACTAAGTATCTTCTTGGTGAGTTGGTACGTGTCCTGACTTGTACCGGTGCTCGTCTGGAAAGAAGAGCAAAACATGCGCCATTCCTTTTTTGTTTTCTCTGCGTTGAAGGCGACCTGCTTAGCCATTGTAACAATGGCTAACGGCAGACCGCCGCACATTTCCCAGAGTCTGGGTGGAGCTTTCTGCTGATTTGCTTTGCCCATGATTTCCATAAACAGTTGTCTTGCCGTTTCATCATTAAGTAAACCAACTTTATGAACTGTACCAGCAATACCAGCAATTGCAAGAAACCGTGTAATAATTATTATTCTGCCGCCTGAGACAGTACGACGCAACAAACTTATGATTGAATTCAACCCCGACATAGACCACACATCATCAAGTAAGATCAGGAACCTGAAGTGAACGGAAATAATGATTAAAGATTGCTGATCAGTAGATTGTCAACTTATTCATCATTATGTATTACCAGTATACAATGCATTGAGAGACTAGAGATTTATGTTGGGGTGATAAGGATGAATAAGAGGTATATTTCCCCGCAAAAAAAAAGAATAAGATGTATATTTAAGGTTTCTTTAAAGACTAACAAATAGTCAGTGGACTGGTGTTGGGAATTGGGCCACCCAGATTTCCTAAAAAGAAGGCGTAAGGAATCTATAGCCAATCCTTAAAAATTTCAACCCTTAGAGCATCTGTAGATAACCGCCACTTTACAGTTTTGCACGAAAAAAGTGCACCGAACAGACACTGTATTGGACCGCGGCCTATAAAAAATTTGCGGGGCGTGCCAAATCTTTGCCCTCAACATTTAGATACACGGGATGGGAGGCCGACCCGAGCTTGACCCCTATCGGCAGCGATATTTGGCGGGAGGGACATTTCCGCGCGACAGGTCTCGCTTCCCCTTCCCTCCGCCCGCTTCACACCACCTTCCACGACTTTGTATCACCGCCATGGAAGCCTCCGAGCCGTCGCCCCTCACAGTGGATGGCATCCACGCGCCAAACCCTCTGGCAAATCTCGTCGTCGGCCATGTCACGCCCGTCGCCGTTCAAGGCTCCACCGCGCAACCCCGCAAGCAGCAGGGCGACATCGTCGTCCAGGGAGGCGCTACCGCAGCCCCCGCCGGGAAGTCATGCGCGCCCGCCGCCGTTGCCGCTACGAATCCAGTCCGGCCCGCGCTGGTGAAGAAAGGCAAGGTTTTTGGTGTGAAACGCAAGAAGGCCGCTGCAAGAGCTACCCCACCAACACCTCCCCCGATTGCCCCAGCAAGAGCTACCCCGAGGATGCCCGATGACGACGCTGCTGCCGCCACCCCTTAGGTGTTCGACGAAATGGGCGCAATTTATGATACTTCAATTTCTTCTATTTGTTTCACTTTTCGCCATTGCGCTTGTTTTTGACTTGTTGAGCGAATTTGTCGCGTCGGTATGCATGATGCGACTGCCGAGTTTGTACACTTGTTGGGCGACAACACCGTCGACATTGATCAAGCCCCGATCGGTGATTACGGTTACAATGAGATGGATGGTGGCATGGACGGTCGCGGTGAGGAAGAAGATGATGTGGAGGAGGTTGAGGAGGGGGTGTTCGACCAAGCGCAAGAAAAAGTGTGTGCAAGATAGAAGAACTACACACATTTTGAAGATCAAATCTTGAACAAGGCTTGGGAAGCGGTGTCTCTTGATGCGTGCACCGGCACTGACCAAAGCGGTATTGGGAAAGGATAGATAATCAGTTCTTCCGCATGATGGCAAAGTATCCCAACAGGACGACATGCACCTTTAGGTCACTCCAAGGTCATTGGGTCGTGATCAAGCCGATTTGTAGCCGTTGGGCTGCTTGCTTGGAGAAAGTCCGCAATGCACCTCCTAGTGGTACCGTTGAATCCGATTATGTGAGTTTGTTTTCATGTCCCAAATTGTGCAAATCATTTGTAGCCATCAGAGTGGTTGCATAATTTGACATTATTTTCATTTTGTAGGACAAAATTGCGCAAGAAAGATACAAGGACATGGAAGCTTCCGGTGGTAAGTCATTTCAACTAGAGCATTGTTGGAAGTTTCTTCAAAATAGCTTGAAGTGGAAGTTGATTGACAAAGAATCCCCACCGAAGAGAGGTGCACTCACCAAAATGGATGATGATGAAGATGATGATGGCCCAAGAAACAAGAACAAGCCCGATGGAAACAAGAAGACCAAGGACAAGATCAAGAGGGAAGTGGAGGCATCAAGCTTGCGGGACAAGATAGATGATGCAATCAAATAAGTTGATGTTGGTCAAGACATTGGAGGCAAAGAAGGAGTTGGTCGAGAAGAAGGCGCAAAAGAAGCAAGTGGCAATTACTCAAGAAAGAGGGGTTGGGCAAGGCCTCCATTGAGGAGATAAAAGCCCTTGCCGAGGAGAACAAGTCCTTGGCCAAGCTTCTTTCCGAGGAGAGCAAGATCATGACTATGAACTGCAATGACATGGACGACCTCACCAAAAATGGCATGATATGGCAATGCTAGCGACAATGGGTGATGGCTTCGGTGCCAGTGGGGGAATTGGTGGCGGTGGTGGAGAGTGATGATGTTGATGATGATGGTCATCGACAGGGGCGAATCTACTAGGGGGGCTTTTACAGGCTTGAGCCCCCCCTCAGCACAAAAAAACTGTTTTTTACTACTAGTATTAAGGCCCAACTCAGCCACATGCCAGCCCAACCCAATATATATTTGCATGATACAGACTTGAGTAAACTTTGAGCCCACCCTCCATTTTCTGTCAAGATTCGCCACTGGTCATGGAGGTGGTGGTGGTGACTTCGGTGACGGTGGTGGAGAGCAATGACGATGATAAAGATGGTTATGGAGGTGGTGGTGGCTTTTGCATGTGGTTCTTTTGCGTCATGATTGAAAGCTATGTTTAATTTTCGCGCAAACTAAGTTTGATTGTTCGAATTTGAAGCCAATCATCAGATTTGCGATCAAATTGTCTAATTTGATTTTTTTTGGTTTGCGAGCTAGCGCAGGCTGCGGCTGAACAAACCCCACAAAGCAGAACTGACCCCGCGTCAGCCCGCAAAACATGTCGCGTCAGCTCGCAAAACATGTTTTCCACGGACTGTAAATACACTATAAAGGTCCGCGATATAAAGGGTATGTCTCCTCAAACTTAACTCCTTAAAATTTGAGGATTTAACTCTTCAAACGGAGTGACCCCACATGAAAATCTCTCCATCTTCCTCTTCCTTCACAGCCGGAGTAGCATTGACAACGCCCACACACACACGCCCACATGGTTTCACGCACTGCGCGCTCTCTCTCTCTCTCTCACACACACACACAGCCGCATGACACGCTTGGTTACACATGGGGGCACCGGCCGGCGAACACACGACTGCGCCTAGGCGCTGCCATTTTGCACCTCTTGCAGCCGATTTCGTGAAATTCTTCGTCGTTGGCAAGATTCCGACATCAGAGAGGGGCGGCCGGATGTGTGTGGGCGGTGCAGGTTCCATTCCCGGGGCGGCCGGTGGCTGTGGTGGCGACATGCGGCGGTGGGAGAGGAGAATGATTTTTTTTATGAGAACTTGTTTCGGATGAGTAAATTTAGGAGAGTTGGGCTGGTTTTCAAACTTAACTCTTTAGGGCATGTATACTGATTCTATCTTAGCAATGTCACGTAGGATATATGCTGAGATCAAGGAAAGAGAAACCAACAAAAATGTTTTGCCTTATCTTATTTAGAGATGATCTCTTAGCAACAAATCTCTCACCACATTTTTAGGGATTACTAGTTACTAGAGATAAAATTAAGAAAGAACCCATTGTACACTATATTTTTCAATCAACTCTAGATTACGTGGCTGGATTAAGATAAGATTGTCTTATCAACCACTCTACATGCCCTTAAGAACTTACTCCGCTAAAGATTTGAGGATTCAGTTAGGTGCAGTTAAATCCTTATTTTCAAGAGTTAGGGCATGTACAATAATGATTGATAAGATAGTTTTATCTTAAATCTTGCATGTAATTTAGAGATGACAACAAAAATATGCATACTATGAGTTATCCCTTACCCCTATCTTCGATAACTAGCTATTCCTGAAAACGCGACGAGACAATCATTTTCTTATGGTTTCTCTCTCCTCCACGTCAACATCTATCATATGTGGCACTCCTAAGATAGCACCATTGTACATGCCCTTAAAGATTACTAAGGGATTGATTAGAGATGATCTGGCCGCATGACGGAAACATATCCTGAAGACCTAGCACCGCTGAGGGCATCTCCAACAGTCGTAAGATAGGTGTTGGTTAATTTACCATCTAGGACATAGTGATGATGTGGCATATAATAAATGTGGAGAGAGAGCAAAGTTGTACTCCCTCCGTCTCAGTTTACAAGTCCTACGCGTATATCTAGGTTGCCAATTTTATCACGCTAATACAAACTATATAACACAAAAATTATACCTTTTGAAAATAGAACATATGAAGTTTATATTGATATATTTTTTGTAATATATGACTTGTATTAGGTTGGTCAAATTGACGACCTAGGGGTGTTGAAATATATTGCCCGTCTCCCTCCATTAGTTCGGACTTTTGGATGAGTTGGCTGGAGCATGAATTCAATATGGTATCCGAGCCAAGAGGTCTTGAGTTCAAGACCCTGCCAACGCAGTATTAAATAAAAACGATTCCGCGGCCTACATCGATCCCATGTCTAAGGACTAAAATAGCCTAGACGTGAGGGGGAGTGTTGAAATATATTGCCCGTCTCCCTCCATCAGTTCAGACTTTTGGATGAGTTGGCTGGAGCATGAATTCAATAAGGGGTACGTGCATGCCTTGTAAATTGAGAGAGAGGGAGTATGTAGATTAGGCTAGTCATAGTGGGGAGTAACTTAGACTAGTAACATGCATATGTTACTAGTCTATGTTACTACCTCCATAGTGGGTAGTGTCATAGATGTGGTAACATAAATGGCTTCATTTATTATTTTGTAGACTCATTTTACATTGGGCACCGCTATGTGATGGTAAGATATTATGTAACTTCATTTGCATCTCTCCTCATTAATTACTTACCACATCATATTTCTTGCCTATGGGGAAATTATGTTACTACCTATGTTACTCCCACTATGAGCAGTCTTAACCAACAATCTTTGCACAAGCTCCAAGATGAAATAGAGAGCAATCACATTTATTTTCTTATCATCTATTGGATAGCTTACATACAATCTATTTAAGTAGTTGTATGATAGCTTGTTGGTTGATGACATGAACATTTTATCAACAAGACTAACATACAACCTGTTGGAGATGCCCTGAGCGAAACTCTTCCCGAACCTAGCGCTGGTGCCTTCAATCTCTCCGATCTCTTTCACGGCTAGGCAATCCCTGCACAACTCCCTAGCTCCCCACTGATCTGCCCTCCTCGCCGCCTCCGAAGGCCACCAAACGGCTAAGTCGTGCGACCACCTAGGATGGGGGCGGTGGGACGGTTCTACACAAAGACGACGACCTCGGGAAATTACAGTGGGGCTCAAATCCTGGTTGCGTGGGTGGCAATGGCATCAGCGGCGCCCGGAGGTGGTGATCGTAGGTTGATTCGCTTAGATCGATTTGTGGTGCGCCCTCAGGTTGAGGCGGACGCTGGAGAGGTTCATGTCCCATTGGATTGTGTCCATCCTCGCGTGGAGGAGGAGGCACGTGCCAAGGTGTCACATGGCAATATGTGGCTGCTGCTCCTATGATTCAAGACGATGGAGGAGGCACCAACCTGGCGTCTCGGAGCGGATCGGCGGCAACGATGGGGGCAGGCTGGTGTCAAGCACGGTGACAACCACTACACCACAACACTTGATTGAGGGCAGTTAACTGCCGGAAGAAAAACCTGTTTAAAGGTAAACAGACTGCCAGGACATGTGTTATTGCCGCTAGAAGCATGTTAAGGCGGTGTAACTGCCGGGAGAATGGGTGCTCCTAATCAGCGCTGCACGCGCCACTTGGCGCTACCGGCGCTCGCTAGCGACGCCTAGCGGGCCGGCCCAACAACCGATTCAGTAAGGAAAACGCGGGAAAAAAGGGAATAAGGATCAGTGAGAATCGAACCCAGCACCTCAACGCTAACAACCGATTCAGTAAGGAAAACGCGAAAAAAAAGGGAATAAGGCAGTTAATTGCCGGAAGAAAAACCTGTTTAAAGGTAAACAGACTGCCAGGACATGTGTTACTGCCGCTAGAAGCATGTTAAGGCGGTGTAACTGCCGGGAGAACGGGTGCTCCTAATCAGCGCTGCACGCGCCAGTTGGCGCTACCGGCGCTTGCTAGCGACGCCTAGCGGGCCGGCCCAACAACCGATTCAGTAAGGAAAACGCGGGAAAAAAGGGAATAAGGATCAGTGGGAATCGAACCCAGCACCTCAACGCTAACAACCGATTCAGTAAGGAAAACGCGGAAAAAAAGGGAATAAGGATCAGTGGAAATCGAACCCAGCACCTCAACGCTAAATACGTGACACAATAACCAACTGACCATGCAAGATCTTTTGTATAGATCTAGGAATCCGTCTTAATTATTCTTTTCTTTCGTAAACGTTAATGTATGACCGATATAAACCTTTTGGAAAAGAAAAAAAGTAAAATATCATCGAAAACTTCACAAATTTAAAATGTTCCGCATTTTTCAAAACAATCATTGGAAAAGAGTTCATCAATTTGAAAAAAGTTCATCAATTTTGAAAAGAATCCACCGATTTTGAAAAAGATTTCATCGATTTTGAAAAGAGTTCATCAATTTTGAAAAAGAGTTCATCAATTTTGAAAATAGTTCATTGATTTTGAAAATAGTTCATTGATTTTGAGAAAGAGTTCATCGATTTTGAGAAAGAGTTCATCGATTCTGAAAAGAGTTCATCGATTTTGAAAAAAAATCATAGGTTTTGAAAAGAGTTCATAAATTTTGAAAAAGAATTCAACGATTTTCAAAAAAGTTCATCGATTTTGGAAAAAGTTCATCAATTTTGAGAAAGAGTTCATCGATTTTGATAAAAGTTCATCGATTCAAATTAGCAAAAGGAAAAAAAGAAAAAGAATAAAAAACAGAACACAAACCGTCCGAATAAAAAAGGAAAAAAGAAAAAGAATAAAAAAACAGCACAAAAACCATTCCCAATAAAAAAGAGAGACGAAAAATAAAAAGGAAAAGGAAAACAGTTCACCAACTTGAAAAACAGTTCATCAAATTTGAAAAATGTTCGTGTATTGAAAAAAGTTCATCGAATTAGAAAGAGCTCAGCGATTTTAGAGAAAGTTCATCAAAATTGGAAAAAGTTCACGGATTTTCAAAAAGTTAGTTGAATTTGAAAAACAAAGCGTTGAATTTGAAAAATAAGTTCATGGATTTTTGAAAAAAGTTCATTGAATGTTTAAAAGAATTTACAAATTTTGAGAAAAATTCATCGATTTGAAAAAAAGTTCATGGATTTTTGAAAAAATATCGTTCATTTTGAAGAAAAGGTTCATCGATTAATAATCTTGCATTTCAGAAAAAGAAATAAATAGGAAAATAAAAATAAAAGTAGAAAACAGAAACTAAAAGTAAATGCGAATTGGAGAAAGAGTAAAAAGAACGCAAGAACTTACCATGCATAAGCTTGTTGTTGGCCAAGTGGTTGGCGCTGTGCGCTGGGAACGTATAGGTCATCGGATCGCGTTTGCAAAAACACCTGTAACGGGCGCCTGTGGCGCTAAATAAGAAACGCCCGGAGAACATTAGCAACAACGACATCTGCATTGCCTGTACGCTTTACGGCCCATAGTCTGCCGGGAAAACGAAATCTCGGCCCATAATCTGCTGGCCCACGCTGGAGACCGTCTTTGGCGCGAAACGGAAAAACAGCACTAATAAGCACGCGCCAGATAGGAAAAAAAGCGCGCGACTTGACGAATATTTTGGCTCATTAAGAAATAATAGCGTCGGCCGTCCCACGACCAGATCGACAATGCCACCCCCAAATCCCCTTCCTCCACCAGATCGACCGCCGCCGCCGCCCGGAAACCTAGCAAGTTCGCCCCGTGCCGCCGCCTTTCTCGCTCGTCGACCACCGCCAACGTACCTCTCCCGCCCCCACCGCTGGCGTAGCCCCTCACCACCGCAGCTCCTCTACCGCCGCGCACCCCAATTCGCCCTCCACTGGACCACAAGCCTTCGCCGCCCTCGCCCCCAACTATCCACCATCGACGGAGGCCCTCCAACCAGCAAACCACTGCCGCACACCGTCACCCCCCATCACTCGCGGCAGCCACTCCGCCCCTCCGCCGCCCCAACAGCCACTGCATCCTACTGCCGACCACTGTTGTCGTCACCCCACTCCAGAGCGGCGCCTCCGAGCACCCCGTCAGCCACCATCGTCATCGCCAAGCCACACCACCGGTGGACACCATCCTCCGTGGAAGGCCTTCGTCCCCAGCAACTACTACGTACACTCATGCACTTCCACCCCGAGCAGGCTTCACTGAGCATCAAGTCACGGGTCCGCCTGCTTCACAAGCCCCCGAAGCAGTAGACCACGTGTTGGCCCTCCTCCCCGACGAGCGGCTTTGCCTGCTGAACATCCTTTCCTTGGACAAGAAGCCTGAGAAGCTGGACTTGATATATTCCGATGTTTGCAAAATGTCGGTAAGATCTCTTGGTGGTGCTAACTACTTTGTGACTTTTATTGATGACTTTTTCAGGAAAGTTTAGGCCTTCACTTTGAGGACCAAAGATCAAATATTAGGCGTATTTAAGCAATTCTAAGCCTCAGCTGAGAGAGAAACTGAGAAGAAGATCAAGTGCATTCGCACTGATAAAGGAGGAGAGTACATTGGGCCATTTGATGCATATTGCAAGCAGCAAGGTATTAGGCATCAATTTACTCCCTCGAAGACACCATAGTTGACTGAGAATTTAATGGAATGAGAATTCCCGTGCATCAGTAAAGGGTTTTAGTTTCTCTATGTATTAGAATTTGTGAGCTTCAGTATCTTTGTGTTACAGTCAACTAGTAGTTTATTGAAATGTAATGCATTAATGCAAGAAGAGAAGAAAGATTCTACATGGTACAAAAAAAAGACTTAACCATATAAGTTTTAACAAAATAGTCTATGCGAACAAAAAAAAATCCCAGCAAATATACTAGAGTAGATAGCGATGTAATTTTAAAACTTGTCAGAAAATAATATCGAACTCAAGTGTTATCATGAGTAAAACCTGAACAAAAGAGCAAATTAATGCATGTTGATGGAGCAAAAAGAAGGAAAATATCCCACTCCTTCCGTCTAGGTGTATAAGTCACCTTACGAAAACTAAATAATCCCAAAACACTTAGACGCGGTGCATTAACTCTCAGCTTGTTTATTTTTTTGACAAAAATAAAGGAATCAACCAATAAGAGACGTGGGACGTGTATACTTTCAATGACTTGAGACTATCAAACATGACATGCAGTGGCCAGTTCATCATGCAATGCTATTAATTAGCAAATAAACATTAAGTTCTCTCGTTTTTCCCTCCGTCTTAGTTGCGATGCACAACCTAAGATGACTTATTCACCTAGACGGAGGGAGTATAGTACCAACCTGATTCAGTTATTCAGAATACGTAAATTTGGAACAATTAGTGTATGTACCTTTTTCCTTGTAGGCACTAATGCAGCTCAGCTTTTATATGATCCATATCGCCATCGTGGCCTTGCAGCTCCTGCGGCTTGAGTTGGTTCAGTATATCCACGAGGACCTTCTTGAGGTCTTGAGAGTCTCGAGACATGTTGACCATCGCTCGGGGCTGAAAGTAATCCCCGTAGTTCTGGTAGAGCGCCATTGCAATGGTTGTTTTTCCAACGCCAGCAGGTCCAACAATGGACAGTAGTGTGGTGTGGCCGTCGCTGTCGCTGGGGATGATCCAGTTGTGAAGTACCTGCTTCATGTCCTCTTCTATTCCCACGGGGTATGCATACTTGATGCCACTGTGCCGGCGGGTTATCTCCTCGGAATAGCTGACAAATATGTCGTACCATGGCGTGGGAACAACTAGTCTGAGTGTGGCGGGCTTGGTGACGATGTTGTCAAGCTGGTACCTACTACGCATATCGGCCACCTCCTTGATAAGGCTCCTGACCTCCTCAACCATGTTAGCGATTTGATGATGAGCTCTCCCCATGCAGAGCATGTTGAAGGCCTTCGTGATGAGGCTGTCCAGATGTGGGGCGCGGTGCACGCGCGCCGCGAAGGTGATCATGACGTCCTCCATGTCGTAGGAGATATCCTTGAGGAAGACATACCAGATCCAGACGTGCTCATGGAGTTGGTCCGGTGGCACCTGCGCCACCATGCGGAGGATGGTGCTCATGAAGACGAGCTCGCTTTGCAGAGACTCGACGTCCTTCCTCACTTTGTCTTGCAGCTGGTACTCATCTTGCAGCAGCGCACCCAGCTTCGGGAGCAGGCTGCTCGTCGCCCCCGTCACCAACTCCATGGCTCAGCTCCCTCCTACCGCCCTCTCATCTGGTTGCTGTGTATTCAATCTCATCTGGTTGCTGTGTATTCAATGCGTGCGGTAGCTAGCTAGAGAGATACCACCTCTTTGGCCTTGCTTTGGAGTACTGATATGAGAGGGTCGATGGACGTCTGTTAGTCTATACTCTACACACAGTTACACACTAGCTTGTCTCTCCAGACGCAGAAGGGTCAGTCTACATCGGTTTCCCATGTGAACCAACGATACAAAAATGTATCTGGCCCAAATTGTGGTAAGTTTATTATTGGAAAGGGTAAATATAAATCAAGTCATCTTTGGAATCTTTCTCCCTAAGTACTGAGAGCCTATAATTTTCACAACTTGCATGGTTATATAATCACAATACTTTCTTTAGTTCCAAAAGTATCAAAAGCCTACAAGTCACTGTAAGTTAACAAAAGACAATGTCTACAGGTCATCGTAAGAAATCTTATTTCCTAATTAGCGTCAGTTTGCACCACATTGATCATTGGTTGCTCGGTGCATGAAACCTGGCTGCATTGATGACAGTAGATGGCAACACATACTAGTATATACCAATAGTACATACTCAAGCTGTCCATCATGTTCCCCACTTCGTCATTAGCGCTAATTAAGGATCAACATGACTCTGTTGATTAGAAAAAAAAGAGCAGATGCATGTGTCAACTTGAGTTGGAATCTCAAGACAGCGTCTTCAGCGCAAAATGCCAATGCATTTGTTGGGTAGCGGGCTGCTTGTGATTATCTAAGCGGGTGTGCTCGGTCTTGGGTCCTGTTTTTGGAATATATTTTTTGAAAGTTTTTTTTGGAATATTAATTGTCTTACTTGCAAGAATGGAGTAGTCATCTTACCCAACGCAAACCATTCATGTATCGCTTGCTGTTCTGCAGTGTTAGAATATAGAGTTGTAATCTCAACCTCCTTCCTTCTCTTGTATTCTACCCAAACTCTTTCTGTCATAACCTTGTACGTCAAGCCAGGCTTCGGCCACGCATCAATATAAACTACCACGCGGCTCCCTCGATGGAGTAGGAACGCTTCATATCTTTCATGGTAATCAGAGCCACCTCTTCTCATACATCTAGCCACAATCCAAAACCCTAGAAACCACACATCATCGTCTCCATGGCTTCCTCCGCCGGCGTCTCCCTCAACCTTGGATCGCCGCCGTCTGAGAAGCTCGCAAGAGGTAATTTCATCCTCTGGAAGACGCAGGTCCTCCCAGCCCTGCGAGGCGCGCAGGTGACGGGGCTCCTGGACAACACCGATGCCGCTCCACCCAAGATGGTGGAGATCACGAAGGCAGACAAGACCACGGCCCTAGAGCCGAATCCCCTATACGGACCCTGGATCGCCAAAGATCAGCAGGTTCTATCATACCTTCTCAATTCCATGTCTCCAGAAATTCTTGCACAAGTTGTTGGGAAAGATTCCATCTTTGAGCTCTGGACGACGGTGACAAATCTCTTCGCCTCACAATCTCAGTCTCGGATTACTAATCTGAGAATCGCCATCACCAATACCAAGAAGGGCTCGATGTCAAGCTCGGCGTATATGGCGAAGATGAAAAGTCTTGGGGATGAACTAGCTGCTGCAGGTCGTCCCGTATCTGATCCGGAGATGGTGGACTATATTCTGGCCGGACTGGACCGCGACTACGACCCCGTGGTGGCGGCGATCGGCGCTGTCAAAAACATCATCACAGCCGACGATCTTTTTGCCCAGATTGCTGCCTTTGATCAAAGGATGGAGATGCTAGGCGACTCATCTTCAGGCGGGTTCTATTCATCCGCTAATGCGGTCTACAGAGGCCGTGGCCAGTCCCGTGGCAGATCTCGCGGGCGTGGAGGAAGAGGCCGTGGCCGTGGTGATCGTGGTGACCGCGGTGACCGACAGTCGTCTTCCTCCAATGGAGGCGGCGGATTCAGAGGCCGTCCTCGACAGCAACAGCAACAGCAGGCTCGTGAGCAACAACATGACTATCCAGAATGTCAGATATGCTACAGACACCATCCAGGAGGTGCACGAGTTTGCTGGTGGCGTTATGAAGAAAACGACCAGGAAGAAAAGCAGGTGCATGCAGTCTCCTATGGCGTGGACACCAACTGGTACGCCGACAGTGCAGCAACAAACCACATCACAGGTGAACTTGACAAGTTGACGATGCGGGAGAAGTACAATGGAGGCGACCAAATTCGCACGGCAAGCGGTTCTGGTATGGATATCACACACATTGGTAGTTCAATTGTTAAAACCCCCGTGAAAAATTTACACTTGACCAATGTCTTGCATGTTCCTCAAACCTCTAAAAATCTTGTTTCCGTTCATCGATTCACTCTTGATAACAATGTTCTTATTGAATTCTATCCTTATTTTTTCTTGGTTAAGGACTTGAAAACAAGGAGAGTCATTCTTAGAGGACGGTGCGTGCGAGGACTCTACCCACTCATATCATTATCATCATCATCATCATCTTCATGGTCCAATAAACAAGCAAATATTGTCACCAAGCTATCTACATCAAGGTGGCATAGTCGTTTAGGTCATCCATCTTCAATCATAGTTAGATATGTTCTTAGCAAAAATAAACTCACTTATGAGCCTAGTAGTGAGTCAGTTTGTGATCCGTGTCAACAAGCAAAAAGTCATCAATTACCTTACCCAATTTCTACTAGTGTGTCTACTGCCCCTTTACAACTTATCTTTTCAGATGTATGGGGGCCAGCTCCTATTTCAGTTGGTAGATTTTCCTATTATGTAAGTTTTATTGATGACTATAGTAAATTTACTTGGATTTATCTGTTGAAAAAGCGATCTGATGTATTCCAAGTTTTCCTCAATTTCCAAAATCTTGTTGAACGCAAACTGAACTCTAAAATCATTGCTATGCAAAGTGACTGGGGTGGTGAGTATGAAAAACTAAATTCTTTCTTTCAAAAGCTTGGCATATCACACCATGTATCTTGTCCTCATGCTCACCAACAAAATGGATCCGCTGAAAGAAAGCACCGTCACATAGTTGATATGGGGCTTGCCTTGTTAGCAAATGCTTCCATGCCGCTTAAATTTTGGGATGAAGCATTCTTAACTGCTACATATCTCATCAACTTGCTTCCAAGTAAAGTTATCAAATTTGAAACACCCATTACACGACTTCTTGGTGTCACACCCAACTATACATCTCTTCGTATTTTTGGTTGTGCCTGTTGGCCCAATCTTAGGCCTTACAACACACGCAAACTCGCTTTCCGCTCAAAACGGTGTGTCTTTTTAGGCTATAGCCCCATGCATAAAGGGGTCAAGTGCCTTGATGTTCCTACTGGTCGGGTGTATATATCCAGAGATGTTGTATTTGATGAGTCCGTGTTTCCCTTTGCATCCCTTCATCCTAATGCTGGTGCACTTCTCCGCAAAGAAATTCTTCTTCTTCCTTCACATCTTCGGTCTTTTGATCATGGGGGCGACAACAATTGTACTAACCAATGTGATGATATTCCTGCTGGTACTGGTCTTTCTCTTATGCCTGTGCAGGTCCCTGGAGAAAACGGTGCTCAAAATGACCAAGATCTCGAAAATATGGCTGGTTTTGATCCTATATTTCATGCTGAGGAAGGAGACGAAGCTGGCACAGATGACGAAGAAGATCTGGCGGCGCCTGCCACCCCTGCACGCGCGCAGATCTCGGATCACGTGACCGCATCCGCCTCGGATCAAGCCCCTGATGGCTCCAATCCTGGATCCAGGGCGGGCCACTCCCGTGCTGCCGCGTCAGCTTCAGGCGGGACCAGCAGCGGGGCCGAATCCCCCTCGCCCCGCGCGCCAGCGTCAGGCGGGACCAGCGGCGGGACCAGATCCTCCCCGCACCACGCGCGCCTCCAGTCGCGGTCGGGTGGCGGATCCTCTGCGCCAGTGCCTGCAGAAGGGGCAGCTACACCAGAAGCCACAGGATCCCCTGCGCATATGACGACAAATCAGTCCACTGCATCAGCAGATTCTCCTGGATCTTCTGTGGCAAGTATACCAGCGGTGCAGCGAGAGGTTTCTTCACGTGTTATGACCCGGCTACAAAAAGGTATACGGAATCCTAAAATTAGGAAAGATGGAACTATACCATATGGAATGTTGTGTATTTCAGGAGAACCAACATCGTTGAAGAATGCACTTGATGATCCTAAATGGAAAAAGGCAATGGATGAGGAGTATTCTGCGCTCATGAGGAATAAGACTTGGCATCTTGTACCAAATCAGAGAGGTAAAAATATTATTGATTGCAAATGGGTGTATAGAATTAAGAAGAAGGCAGATGGCTCCATTGACAGATATAAGGCACGTCTAGTTGCAAAGGGCTTTAAGCAACGTTATGGCATTGACTATGAGGACACCTTTAGTCCTGTTGTGAAAGCTGCAACTATCAGACTTGTGTTAGCCATTGCTGTATCCAGAGGATGGAGTTTAAGGAAGCTAGATGTACAGAATGCGTTTCTGCACGGTGTTCTGGAAGAGGAAGTGTTTATGAGACAACCACCTGGGTATGAGAGTAAGAAATTGCCACAGTATGTCTGCAAGCTTGATAAAGCACTCTATGGTCTAAAGCAAGCACCCAGAGCATGGTATTCCAGATTGAGCTCATAGTTAAAATATCTTGGCTTTGTTGCTTCCAAGGCTGACACATCCTTGTTTATTTATAACAAGGCAGGAGTAGTCATTTTTGTGCTTATATATGTTGATGATATCATAGTTGCAAGTTCTTCACAAAATGCTACTAATGCTCTTTTGCATGATTTGAGCTCAGAGTTTGCCTTGAAGGACCTAGGTGATTTGCATTTCTTCTTGGGTATTGAAGTCAAGAAAACTCAAGATGGTATTGTGTTAAATCAGGAAAAATATATTCTTGAGCTTCTGTCTCGCATGGGGATGAAAAATTGCAAGCCAATGCTTACACCTTTATCCTCCTCAGAAAGTCTCTCAGCATATG